TTACCACCGGACTTGATAGAGTGACCTGAAGGGGTAATTCAGTAACTACTGCTGGAATTTCTGAACGAGTAGAACTAGGTGTGCCGAATTTGGGCTTCGTTTTGTTAGTTATGACGAGTCCATACCTCCGGACTTGATGGAGTGACCTGAAGGTGTAATTCAGTGATTACAAGTGGAACTCCTAGACTTGTAGAACTAGGTGTGCCGAGTTTGGGTTCGTTTTGTTAGTTACGATGAGACCTTACCACCGGACTTGATTGAGTGACCTGAAGGTGTAATCAGGTGGTTACAAATGGAACTCCTAGACTAGTAGAACTAGGTGTGACGAGTTTGGTTTCGTTTTGTTAGTTACGATAAGATCTTACCACCGGACTTGATGGAGTGAAATTCCGCACACCTAGTTCTACTGGTTCAGAAATTCCAGCAGTAGTTACTGAATTACCCCTTCAGGTCACTACATCAAGTCTGGTGGTAAGGTCTCATCATAACTAACAAAACGAACCCAAACTCGGCACACCTAGTCCTACAAGTCTAGAAGTTCCACTTGTAATCACCGAACTATACCTTCAGGTCACTCCATCATGTCCGGTGGTAAGGTCTCATCATAACCTACAAAACGAACCCAAACTCGGCACACCTAGTTCCACCAGTCTAGGAGTTCCAGTTGCAATCACCGATTTACACCTTCAGGTCACTCCATCAAGTCCGGAGGTATGGACTCGTCATAACTAACAAAACGGAGCCCAAATTCGGCACACCTAGTTCTACTCGTTCAGAAATTCCAGCAGTAGTTACTGAATTACCCCTTCAGGTCACTCCATCAAGTCCGGTGGTAAGGTCTCATCATAACCAACAAAACGAACCCAAACTCGGCACACCTAGTTCCACTAGTCTAGGAGTTCCTATTGTTGTAATCACCAAATTACACCTTCAGGTCACTCCATCAAGTCCGCAGGTAGGTAAGGTCTTATTATAACTGACAAAACCAGTTCAAAGTCCAGAGCTAACATCTCACTACCAGTAGAGGGCTTCCAGTGCCAAGCAGTCTTTGGAGCAGGTATTCATATTTCGTATCGAAGTATATTTCTGAGGTAGGTATAAGAAATGAAAAACAAATTCAATCTTTCAAATTATCAAAATAATTTCATTTGACTACGATTCCCACAGCCAACCGTGCGTACACTAGTGTGTGTGTGACTTTTGTCAATGTAGTAGTGCGATTCTATACCTATCCATTTTGTAAACGCGTCCTTAACGCAATTCCTTTGTATAGTGCGACGTTGCCACTCTTATTAGTTATTCCGCTTTTTATTATTTTATTTATAGCAGGTGATATTTGTTTATGTAGGTATTCGATAGATTCCTATAGTCTGTTTTTTTCGCAGGAGACAAAAATAACAGATCTTTATTGGATTCGTTTAGCACGAATAATACAGTTTTTATGATTCTGGTTCAGATTAGATTTAATTTTAGTCACTTAAGTTTCGTATATTGTTCAAAATAATGAAATAAATCCACAGAATGTGCAGTTACGAAAAATACGCAATATCATTTTTGTCTCCGGCGAAAAAAAACAGATAGATATCATGATTAATTTACCAACTAGTTATTCGTTTACTAAATACGAAAAAATATCTAGGATTGCCCAGCCGTGATACATTATAGATTGACTATATTATTATTTATTTTACTATTGTAAATAAGTACCAACTGTAGATATTGTCAGGTTTAATAGAAGTTAATTTTCTTATATTGTGACTAATAACCTAATATGATCTTGGGAATAAACTCATTTTAATATAAGGTTTTACTGCATTAACTGCCATTGGGTTGTTAATTTCTACAATAGACCGTGGCGTATTGTTGCTGATATGAATAACTCCGAAAATATAATTTATTTACTTGATCGTATTGAGTTTTGGTGCTCTCACTGTGAGTTTACTTTTTATGATCACTATCTTAAGGATGAGTGCGAACTATTTACCTAATCTGTAAAAAATTACTCTCTACTTAACTAGATTAATTTTTGTGAAAGGCTATTTTTGTTAAATTATGATATTTTGCAGTTTGTTGAAATACAATTTGTTTGTGTTGTTGTTATAAATATTGGACGCTATATTACTAAAAACATGCATATCGTGCTCTAATTGGCGTCCGTATTGTGACCTACGCACACTGAGAAGAGAACTTTCCACGCTTATGCTAATATAACAAGTTTATTTACCTAAGTAATGCTGCTTGCATTTAAGTTTCATTGGTTATATTTAGTAACTTAGGTAAATAAACTTGTGTAAGTTGATTGATGTACTTAACATGGACATTGAACGGAGTATTTACCCATATACGGACGTAAGAATATCCTAAAATATTCACACTAAGTTTTATTTGACGTTCACTTCTTCAAATCCGATTTCCAAAGTTGTTGTTGAATATTGCATTTTACTCTTTATTTATGCTGACTATTTATTTAGTATTCAAGGCATATTTTGGTATTTTTGTCGGTTTATACTGTACTCAGTGCTAGTAGATAATTTTACTTTTCAATTTGTTTTCGAGATTTAGCTACATATAATAATTAATATGGACGTCCGAATATCCTAAAACATTCATACTGAATGATATTTGACGTTCATATTTTTGAATTTTGTTATATTTCTATATGTTGACGTCAGATTATCGGTAAAGTTTCATACTGCACGATATTTGACGTCCATATAACCATGAATATATTTATATTTTAATTCCTTGTGTATAAGACACACATTAATGATCATTGCTTTAATGACATTTTTCGCTATTGTTTTATTCGTATTTTAGTGTAGGGAGGCCATGCGGTGTAAAATAGTCACTTTGGTGTTTTATAAAATGTTTCGTTCTAGAAATGATAAAACGCTTAGAAGATTAGAAAACGTGTGTGAAAAATTAAATTATATTTCAACTAACTGCAAATCCAAACATAATATCATAATTTAACAAAAATAGCCTTTCACAAAAATGAATCTAGTTAAGTAGAGAGTAATTTCGTACAGATTAGGTACAATAGTCGCACTCATCCTTAAGATGCAGTAAGAGCACCAAAACTCAACACGATCAAGTAAATAAATTATATTTTCGGAGTTATGTCAGCAACAATATGCCACGGTCTATTGTAGAAATTAACAACCTATTGGCAGTTAATGCAGTAAAACCTTATATTAAAATGAGTTTCTTCGCCAGACCATATTAGGTTATTAGTCAGAGATTATTAGAAACAATATAATAAAACAAACTTCTATAAAACCTGTCAATATCTACAATTGAGTCCATCTACCTGTACTCAATCAGAAGGTAACTTATACTCAAACAGAATTATGGGTTGCTTACGAAATACCTAACAAGAGTTCTTTTAGGCAGATTAGTACCAAATGTAAAATGGTAAAATATAGTGCAGCATGCAATAAACCGATAAGCTGACGTCCGCATTTACATTTATAAAAATATAACTAAATTCAAAAATACGGGTTTCAAATATCATTCAGTATGAAAGTTTTAGGATATTAGGACGTCCATATTATGTGTAGGTAAATGTAAGGTTAAGAAAACAAGTTTAAAAATAAAATTACTAGTACCAAGCGCAGTATAAACCATATAATAATGTCCTGCAGACCGAATTACTGTCATGGCGGCCTGCTTCAACGGAGGACAGGATTATAGCGCCCAAGTGTATGCGCACGCACAGGTGCACTCTCTATTCCCCCACACTCATAGTCCGATGGGACGGTAAACAGACACGACCGGAGAGAGATCAGGCGCAGGACCAACACCTTTACGTGCTTTCCGAGTAACGGGGGTGATACACCGTTAACTTCCAGACTACGAGCACCTATTGAGAATTTCTTGACAGAAAAACTCAATAATTGATTTTTTGGCCCGACCCGGGATCCAAACCCAGGACCTCACGATGAGCAGTCGCACTACTACAACCACTAGACCAACGAGGCAGTCATAACCATATATCACCAAATACAAGTAACACGTTGGCAACGGTGACGGAACAGCAACGTCGCATCTCCTAATTTTGTGCGGAAGTAAAATACGGCCATAAATGAAAGTATTCACAAATCGACACCAGCGCTATTATTTTTGTAACGGAAAGTAGCGGAACTACGTAAATATTCAGTACAGCAAGATTGGAAGAAAAATGACGTCCAATTTTTTTTTAGATTTTGACATTTCTGTGATCAGCATGACAATTTGCGAACATTGCGCTAAGTCTCCTATTTGACGTCCGTATATTGGACGTCGTAAGCAGGTTGACGCCACATTATATGACAATTGGCCATAGTGTACGTATAATATGTTACGGGATGTATATATATATATATATATATATATATATATATATATATATATATATATATATATATATACCTGTCCTGTCCTCCGTTGAAGCAGGCCGCCATGACAGTAATTCGGTCTGCAGGACATTATTATATGGTTTATACTGCGCTTGGTACTAGTAATTTTATTTTTAAACTTGTTTTCTTAACCTTACATTTACCTACACATAATATGGACGTCCTAATATCCTAAAACTTTCATACTGAATGATATATATATATATATATATATATGTGTGTGTGTGTGTGTGTGTGTGTGTGTGTGTGTGTGTTATGGTTGTAGCAAGAATCGGTTGGCTCGTACGGGGAACAAGCACGCTCTCATAGAATACCAGCGTAAAATAGCAGCTTAATACTGCTGTGTTTCGTATGGCATTCCACCTTAGTCCTCAGAGGTGACAACGCATCTGTATTATCATTCTTAATCGAGGTTAAATGTAGATGTCTTTGGGCCACAGCATTCACTTACCATCAAGTGGACTGTGTGCTCGTTTGTCATCCTTATTATATAAAAAAAGGTGTTAATGGGATGCAGTAGTCACTTACCACTTCAGTCACTAATACTAATAAATTTTATTTGAAAAAAAAAATGTTAATATTTAATACAGACTTACGTTACAGGAGCCATCTTCGCCCGACACCGCGCACGAATTGGCAGACAGCCTCCCAATATGCGCGCCTCACAAATACTTGGCAGCCTTCGCGCCCGCCCCCGCACCCCCTCCACAGCCCCCCACTCCGGTGACGCCCCCCACTCAACCGCCTCCCGCTGGTACTACGCTCGACTACGTCGAAGTGTGACGCACTCACGCATGCCAGCACGAATGTGTGTGTTAACCTTTTGCACGTAATGATTTCTTACATTGAATAAAACTAATTTTACTGATTTTAACCGATTTCAAAAAAGGAGGGTATCAGTTGGTATGTTTTTTTAATGTATGTTTAGTTAATCGATTTTTAATTCCAAAGATATACTTTCTATGCGGTTCTATACAAATTGCAACACATTTGAGGCTACTTTATACATTTTTTAAATCGATTTTAATTTATATTTCCTGACGTTTAATGCATTGCAGCTACTTGTCACGGGAGGCCTTTAATTAATTTTATAGCTTTTCATTTTAATTATAATTCGGAGTAACTGGTGAAGAAAATTCATAGAATCAGGCGTTACTTTGCGGAAATCCATTATAATAAAGATATTAATAGTTAATTTGCAACCATCCGCTTAATTAAATACAACGATGTGTCTTACCTAGAATGAAGAGCACCTCCCGCCCTCCCTCAATTGCGTGTACTAATCCCGTCACCATTAATCCCGTCACCGCTACTCCCAACACCACTACTCCCAACACCACTACTCCCGGACCACTACTCCCGGACCACTAATCCCGGCAGTCCCGGGACTCCCGGGAGTAATGGTGCAGGGATTGAGGGAAAAACGAAAGGGTTCTTATTGTTAAATAGCAATCTCTTCCAGTCTCACCAGAAAAAATAATTAAATAATAATAATAAGAGAAAGATTAGTGAGTGAGATAAACTAAAATAAGAAAGGATAACAACTTATGCACTAAAAGGCAACGAAAAAGGATGACTCATTCTAACGTTACGCTCATTGTAACGTTACGATCAATCTCTTCATCAATGTTTTGTTATTACTTTGTCACGTTAAACAATAATCCGTAAACCGACTTTACATACAAACAATTTTTAATTTTATTTTATTAAGACTCTTACACATTAATGTAATATAAGAAATAAGTTTACTCTTAGTACTTAACGTGTAATCCACACCAATGCCCACAAAGTAATATTATTTGCTTAGCCTTATGTTTAATACAATTGCGCAATTTATGATAGTGTGGCAAATTCCTAATTAATAGATAATTTTCAAATTATTATAGCCAGTTAGCAGCTGAGTTGTCATTCTTTTAAACTTTACAGATGACAGGGAAAACGATAGGTTAAATGACCATAAATAAAGTGAGAAAGAGAAAGGGGTTAGAGCGACAAATAGTAAATAGTATTGCTTAAGTTGTTTCGTGAACAAATGTAAGGTTGAGCAATTTTAATCGACTGGTGCAAGGAGTTCCAAGACCAGAGAAAGATTTATCATAAAATGCAGAGAAGTGCAAAGGAAATTGAGGGGAACGATTGTATTGACACTGTAAATATTTCAGAGTGAATTTAGTAATCTTATATTAAACTTGATGAAATCTGTAAAATTAGTTACTCAAACCTCTGGCACTCGGTCACCTACATCTTGCATGTTCTGTTGCGCATAATACATTTTAATTCTATGGGCTTTTATGTAGGTATATTGTTACATAATTTAATATGTATATTATTATGTTATGCTACTTTATTTAAATTATTATTTAAAAAAGATGCATGCTTTTTTCATTGGTTATTTCATTTTGTAAGTAAAACTTGCAAGAATTATTTTTTGTAAATAACTCAAAATAGTAATAATTTCTTTTATTTACTCGAATACTACAAGTTGAATAAAACCAATTTTTAGGGATATTATCAAAAAAAAAACCGGAAAAGTCGGTAAAACCCGTAAATTTGTTTTATTTATATTCATTCATTTAACAAAATTTGTATTGCTTGCAGTTTTCTAATATAAAACATTTTTTTAAATAAAACCTTATGCTCGGCCACGTTCTCAACTGATGGTGATGCAACCTTGGCTAAACTAGTACTAGCTTAGAAAAAGCCTATTCGTTTTTAGCCAACTTCAAAGAAAAAAATGTTCTCACATCGACTGTATTTTGACAATACACTAAACTTTTCAAAATTTTGAAAAGTTTAGTGTATAACCACTGCATTTCTTGCCTGCAGTTCCATCGCGTTGATAGTATTATTGGCGTTATCAGTAATATCTTATCGGCAGTGTTGTATATAGAATTTTAGCTTCGATATAATCAGTCAGCAGATATATCTTTTTTTTAAAGAAGAGGAGGCAAACGAGCATGCGGTTCACCTGATGGTAAGTGACTACTGCCGCCCGTAAACAACCGCAACACCAGGGGAATTGCAGGTGCGTTGCCGGCCCTATAGAAAGGAGTAAGCTCTTTTCTTGAAGGTCTCTAAGTCCTATCGGTCCAGAAAAGCTCGGTGTAAAAAAATCCGCAGAGAGGTTGTACAACACGGAAGAAAACTAGGAAAACGCACAGTGGTGTACCGCTAAGCATCCAGATAGTATGTATGGTGTCGTGAGTTTTATTTTTATTGAGATTATGCGTTAGTGAAATTTGGCGGCTGGAGTTAATCCGAACAATTCCTCAGAGCACTCCCCGTGGTAGATGCAACATTCCTTCGCAGCACCAGTGAATCGAGTTGATCAGAAAGAACTCGGTCGTCGACGATCCGAACCGCTCTGCGCTGGATGCAGTCAAGTGGAAGGAGCTGCATCAAAAGGAATGCTTTGAAAATAATGAGATACGCGAAAGGGGTATTTTTAGCTGTAAACGCGCAAACTTTTGTCTGTTAGGGATTGAACTTTAGTCTAGATTGATGTTTAGTCGCCCCCAATCCGATACTTTATACAACAAAGTCTCGACTTCAGACACAAGTTTGTTCCGGTGCTCGGCGACTTTTTCCCGAGAAATATTGGCACGGCTGGTGTATGAAGCATCACCAGTGCTGTTATTCGCATAGCAACGAATGTTACCAGAGTTTGCAACATATCATTAATGTGCAGAAGAAACATCGTTGGTGATAGGACGAATCCTTGTGGAACACCGGTGTTAATAGACTTTATTCAGAGCATGCACCGTTTACTATGACCATGATGCTCCTATCAGCATGGAAACTGGTGCTTCAATTGCACAATTTCTCAGGGAGCCCATAGAAAAGGAGCTTCGAAGGTAGCGCTTTGTGCCAAACCTAATCGAAGGCCTTAGCAATGTCCAAACTAACGGCCAATGGCTCCCCCTTGGACTCTACTGCCGCCGCCCATCTATGAGTCAGGTAGACTAGAAGATCACGAGCTGATCGACCTCATCGAAAACCGTATTGGCGGTCACTAATCTGCTGGTGATTCTCAAGGTAACTCATGAGGTAGCAGTTTATTATGGTTTCCATTATTTCGGAGAACGAAGAAGTAATGGCGATAGGCCTGTAGTTGGACTGGTCTGAGCGGTCGTATTTTTTAGGGATCGTTTGGACCAAAGCTGTCATCCATGAATTCGGGACTACGCCTTGGGAGTAGGAGTACTGGAGGCGATGCATTAAAACCAATGCTAACTCTGGAGCACCCTTCTTCAGCACAAAGGGATTCAGGCCCACTCGACTTGTTGACATCCAGGGAGAGGAGTGCTTTGCGAACCGAACGCTGTGTAAACCGCACATCCGGCATGGAGCACTCACACCGCGGGATGGTCGGCGGTGTGAGTGCCCATAATCTAGAGTCAAATTGGATGCAAAGAGAACCTAACAGGTCGATTTTCTCCTTTGCGGCACGGGCCAGTTCGTCTTCTCTGTGCAGAGATGGAAGAGATAACTGACAGAAGTTCCCTTTGACAGCGTTGCAAGAGACCAGTGCGCGGATCCCCGAAGGAAGGCGCACTAACTTCGCGCCAATTCTGCCGATGCACTCTGATTTCACCTTGGCAATGATTCTTGAGGAACCTGGAGGCGGAATTATACTTCTTTTTAAGAGCGCTGTTGTTTCTAACCCGAGACGTTGATGCGTCAGCCCGCGCCCGGTAGCACTCCTGCTTAAAGCATGATACTTTTTTACAGAACGACCAAACCATGGCCGAGATCTGCCTCCGATGGACACCACGGAAGATATAATAAAAGTTCCATACCCTAAAGTACCACATCAGCGACTGAATCAGATAAAACGCTGGGCATCGTCCTGAAAGAAGCAAACTCGCCCTCAAGTTAGGATGCAAAAAAAGACCTCATTCTATCCCAATCGGCCTACCTATAGTGCCAAACGTTGGCAGCCTGCAGAGTGCAATCGCGACATTTGCGTGAGTGTAGTTCATGTTGACACGTATGCTTTTGGTAGCTGCGGTAAAATCAACTAACCACTTCTCTACAGAGATGCTAAACGCTGCGTTGTGACGCTGCGTTTGACTCGCATACCGCAGCCGTTGTGCGTTATGATCAAGAGACCAAAGCCTTAGACGTCTCCAGATGGTAGCAGACGGCGCGGCGTTTAAGTTCGAATGAATTCAAAAATTCTTTATTCAGTATCTTAAATTTAAATACATTAACTAGGCTGGGGTCTCCTTTTAAGTATATCAATACCTGTGTTAGGGGATATGAAGTTCAGGGGACTTTGTTGCATAAATTCACAGATATCGTGGCAGGGGTCGCTTTGGTCTTGTTGCTCAGTTTGCCCCGAACAGTTTTTATGTTAAGCGGAATTTTGTCCTTCCCCTCTCTCCTCCCCCAGAATACGTGGGGCCGCCTAAGCATAACACAAGAGAAGTGAAGTAGTTTATTCGTGGATGCTCAGCGAGAGATTCTTCATTACCAGGGGTGCTGATACCCTCTTGGGGTAGTATTTCATTTAATTCTGCTACCATATTGGGGGGCGGGGGAAGTGCCTCCGGCGACCTGCACTCACCAGACCAAACGTAGAAGCAAAGCTTCTATACGCTGGTATTCTGTGGGGTCATGGTACATCCCAGGTTGGAGGTGGCCCATACAGCGAAAGCTTCCGTGTGACTCTACCACTGTTATCTTTGCAACCTTAGCTGTGGCCCATAGACTTCTTCTTTCGTTTTGGAATCAAAAATATTGTCACTGTAGTCTTCAGGACCAATAAATATAAAATATAATGAGATATAATGTCTCATTTCCATTATTTTAATTATGTTATTAAATCCAATTTACTAAGTCTTTCTGGGAGAGAGGGAGTTCCTCTAGCTACATCAATGCCAAAAGTAAAATGACGGCAACACAGAATCTAACTATAATCTTTTTTTTATAATATTGACCTATACATTTTTCTTTTTCCAGAGAACACAGTACAGCAGGCGCCAAAAATTAAAGTGGTCCATTTTGGCATGGTTTAACGCAAGATTTTTGATTTGTTGAACGATGTGTATAAAATAATAGTAACTTTTTAAAAAAAATGTCCGTCCATGCCTAGCTTTAAAGTACTAAATATAGTTCTTTTATAAGACTACCTCAAATAGAATCTATAAAAAAATATTTATATCGTAGTGAAAAAATGTTTACTTACTTTGATAGCTTGATGATATGAATCAATCATATTTTACTGTCGTTTATTTTTTCTATAATAAAAAATATAAAATGTGATAATCAATTAAGTGGTCTTTTTTTTTCAAATTACTAGTAAGTTAAACTCCTTTTTTTTTCTAAAAAGATATACCCTATAGTAGAAAGTAAATCGATACCCACCATCGTAATGGTAACAGCATTAAACCATGATATTGCAGTAGGCACTCGGGTTTAAAAATAAGTGAAACATGGCAACAATGACAAATAATTATTTTTATATACTATGCTTTTTAACCATTGATTTATATAACACTAGATCAGTAATAACCGCGCCAAAGCGTTGCCACTGCACATATGGCCACAGCCATATGCCTAGCCAACGTGAGTTCATTGTGACGCCGCCAGAGTTGAGCCGCTACAAAAATGGGTATTTGCGTAGTGAAAGAAAGGTCACAAAAACGTAATAAATCAAGCGGAATCACTTTCAACACATAATTTTTAATTCTTGTTTTCATATAAACGTAAAAAACCTCAAATAATTAAATTAAATAATCGAATATTGCCATTAGGTTCAATGTTGCTACTTTTCCGCATTTGTGATTATTCTACATAACCTCTGATTTTAAATATTTTGGAAATTATAATAAAAACTAAGTTTTAACTTTCATACTAAATAATTAATTATTCTTATTTTAGTTTATTCATGAATTATCTATTAATGGTTGAGGGTCACAAAAAATGTACTTCGTCTATATTTTTCACGTGCCAAAATTCAAGAATATATAATATATTTTTTGGTACTTCTTTGTAAATAATCTGATTATTTTCTGTATTGGGCATTATTCGCTTGTTAATATTACTCGATTTAAATTGTGAATACTTTTTAATATAAGCAAAAACAAACTGGTACAAAAAGTTGATGAGATTTAATTTCATAGAAAAATAAAATGTGTCCATGCGTGATACATTTTCTTTTTCTTCATTACTTCGTCGTTTGAATAAAGTATCGTGATTTCTTTATGTTATGCTAAATGTAATTGCATAAAACTACTGTTCTAATAATAAGTGTAATAAAACTAGTAAAAAAATAATTAAAAAACGATTGAATAAACAAATGTGTTTCATCTGATTCACGTGTGTTACAAAAACTGTGTTACATAGCAGCTTTTTTGGTAAAAGCAATAGCAACACGTCATCTATTTTTTTTTTCACAATGGCAACACTATAACTTTCAATATGAAATGTCAGTGTTTTGTCAGACATCTTGGTTTACGGGCAGTAGGCAGTACTTGGTGTGTGTCATTTTTCGTCATTGGATTTTAGAGACTTGGAAATAATTTTGCAAGGTAAGTAATAACATTAAGTTGTTTTGTAATATATATAGTTGAAAGAGACATTAAATATTCCTAAATATTGCAGTTTATTACGGATTTGCTTTGCAAGTAAAGATGCTACCTGAATTTTAGGTTATGTTCTTCACGAGTGTTTGTTCACGTATGTTGCGTGTGTTACAAAGTTGTGTGACGTAACACACGTGAAAAGTATAAAGCTTAGTTCACATTGCAATACTTAGGTATAGAAAAAGCTAAATATTTATGTTTTGTGTCAAAAAAAGGAAGAGGTTCTCAATTCAACTGATATTGTTTATTTTCTTTTGTATGTATGTTACGCGATTCTCCAGATTCTGTAGACCGATTTCAAAAATACTTTTTGGTGAATAGAGAATGCCTTCAGGCTGGTCCCATATAAATTTGTTGTGTAAAGTAGGCTATTTTTGGGTTTTTAAACCAGAAAAAAGTTTAATATACAACAAAAAGTAAAGTGTAACTGCATTCATGGTTTTTATTTTTATTTTATGTTGATTTTACAGATGCCTCTAACACCTAAAGAAAGGCAGAAACTATCGAGAACGGCTGAAAGAAGTAAATTCTGAAAAATTTAAATTGCAGCAAAAACAAAATGCAGAAAGAAAAAAAGAAATAGAAAAAGAATAGCAGAATATCCTTCATCTGATCAAGAAAACATAAGAAAGCAGTGGAGAGAGAGAAAGAAGAAAAGTAAGAAAGAACCTAAGCCTGAAGTAGTGCCTTTAGAAGGACATGGACAAATTTTAACACAGAAGAGAAATTATAATAGAAGGGCCATTTATAGACTGAAAAATGAAAACACAAAGCTAGAAGAGGAATAAAAAAAATATAAAAAGTCGTTGAAAAAAAATTAGGCAAAGATTAAACCGTTCTATGGAAAAAAATAAAAATTACCTGAAATAATTGAGGAGAAAAACCAAATGATTCGTAGCTTTGAAGACAGGTCAAGCCCAATTGCCAAAAAAGATGAAGCCCTTGAACAAATGACCCCGTTTCGAAAACGTGCGCATACATTGACCAAAATTTACCTAGTATTCGACCTGAAGAAAGAGAAAGCGTGAAAAAAAGTTTTGCTAGAACATAATATAATAGCACTATAAAAGACAGCTACAAAAGTAAAAACACTCAAGAAAAACGATTAATTAAAGATGTTTTTAACAAAAGTGATAACATTAATAAATACGGTATGAAAACTAAGATGGCTACCTATTTAGGTCTTAAAGGAAAAATTCGTCACACTAAACAGAAAAATAAAAGCCCATTAATACAGACACAGTTAAGAAACTTTTATGAAAGGGATGATGTGAGTAGGATGACAGCAGGGAAAAACGAAGTAAAGACACAAAAAAAAACAGAGAAAGTATTTGCTTGGCACTCTACATAAATTATATCAGAAATATAGAGAAGAAGGAGGAAAATTATCATTTTCAACTTTCAAAAAGTACAGACCCTTTTATGTATTACCACCAAAAGCCGAGAAACGAGAAACTTGCGCTTGCAAGAGGCACAAAATTTGCAAATGAAAGCCACGTCATTGTAGTCAATTGGATTAATAGCAACAACAGATCTTGATGAGTTACTGAGTATGGTTGTATGTTCTTCAAAGTCAAAGGAATGTGCTTACGGAGACTGTGATTTTTGCAAAAACAAACGTATTGATTTTTCTATGGGTGAAAAAGATCTAAACTATAATGTTTCATGGGATGAATGGGTTTTGAAATCTCATGAATACAAACCAAAAAAAAAATGTGATGTAACAAAGATTACGAAAAAAAAACGTCATAGAAAAAAAACTGGTTCGCTAAAAATGCTCCTAGATGCCTTTCAAGAAGAACTGCAAAGTTTCAAAATCCATTCCTACAATATCGTGCATCAGTACAAACAATATCGGCAGTGCATAGAAAATTTAGATGACCGTACTGTCGTTGTACACGTCGATTTTTCGGAAAACTATTCTTGCAAATTAGCCACTGAAATACAAGCCATGCATTTTGATGGGTCCAGGCAACAGGTCAGTCTCCACACTGGGATGTTATATACCGAAAAAGGTCATCAATCTTTTGTAAATTTAAGTCCAAACAAAGATCACTGACCAGATGCCATTTGGGCACATCTCTTACCTGTGCTTAATTTGGTCAAGGAGAAACTACCCAAAGTAGACGGGATTCACTTTTATTCAGATGGCCCAACTGTACAATACCTACAGAAGAAAAACTTTTATTATTTCGCAAACTGACGAAAGAGTTGGGCTTTCCGTTTTCCACGTGGAACTTTTACGAAGCGTCACACGGTAAAGGAGCCGCTGATGGTGTAGGAGGAGCCATTAAAAGAAAATTAGACTCAATTGTATTATGGTTCAAATGTTCCTGACGCTAAAACAGCTTATGAATTTTTACAAGCGTCTAAAATCAAAATACAGCTTTTCTTTATACCTGAAGATGCCATGCTGAACGAATCAGTAGAACTCGTACCAGTACCAAACACGATGAAAATACATCAGATTATTAACAATGTTGACTCAGCTAACTCTATTTCCTACCGTTGTTTAAGTTGCTTCTGCGAAAAAGAGTAGACCAGGTTTTTGCGACTGTCTCAATCTGAAATCTGCGGACTTGCTAAAGCAAACAGAAATGTTAAATGAAAATCTATTCCGTCTAAAACGTCTATAACAGTATTAGCTAACTTAAAAATACTCAAGAAAACAGGTCTTATTTTAATTTGAGACAATATGGACCATTCAATTTAAAACAAATAAACCTCAAAACAGACATTGCTAGAAAAAGTTTGAAAGAAAATTCTCATGACAGAATGAAGAAATGTTCAAAGAAAAGGAAAAATAAAAGACATACACTTTAAAACAAATAAGAAACTTAAAACGGAAGAGGAGAGCAGTACAGACGAAGATATGACGATTTCTGTGCATGATACTTCTGCTGAAGAGTATCACATTACAGATGATATCTTATCAGATGATGATTGTCTGGATCATATGGATTATTAATTGAAAGAACAGAAGAACGTTACAAATTTAAGAAAAATATCAGACACAAGTAAAATAGAGAGAGAAAAAATAGAACAATCAAGCCATGAAGATAAAAAAAATACATACACAAGAGAAATAAACATTTTTTCTAATGAAAATCAGGGAGTAGTTAAAACTAATTTAGCTGGACAATCTGTGATTGCTACGACTCTGCAGGATGATGAAAATAACTTTGACAATGCAAAAAATGACTGGGAAGTGACATCAAAAATTAATACAGACATATGGAGGCTATCTTTCAAAGACACTGTACTTGTAAGGTATTATCAAAGAACCGGGTATTAAGATTTTAATCAGTTAAGCAGGTAAAAATAACAAACACAAAACGACTAAAAGAATACTTTTTAGCTGATCCTAGCGATAAGGTTTATTTTGAGTAGAATATTTACAAGTAGGTAGATATAACATAAATATATATATA